CATGAGGTTGCGATGTGACACTGGCTCTTTCGCAGTTTCGGTCACCATGTCCTCCGCCTCAGCATCTAACATGACCTCACCCAGCGTCCCAGAGTCTGGCTGGTCCTGCGCCAGCTTGGAGAAAGGCGTGATCTTGCCTGTGCGGATGAGCCACTCCCGCCGGCTCTCGTTGGGTAAAGGACCCTTGGAGCCTTCTTCTGCTGCTTCGTCCACCCCAGGTGCCTTGTGACGATCGTTGATACGCTGTTGTATACCATCCATCTCCTGGTCTAGGCCATCGATCTTGTCTCGATACGCTGCGATCTCGCCACGGAGTTTGGCTTTCTGCGTGTCTAAAGCTGGTAGAGCCAGACGGTTCTTGAGCTTCTGTATAGCAGCTTCCGCCCGCTTTGCTTCACCCTCGAGCTTCTCTATGCGCTTCTTGTCGCGTGCATCGGCCTGCTCGGTCATCATCTGGTCCGCCTGCCTGCCAATGTCGCGTTCCAAGTCATCCTGCGCTCGTGTGCCAGTCGTAAGCATCTTCAACCGTGCCTCTTCGTCGGCATCTGACGGCATTTCCTCTACTAATTCTTCTCCACGATCAGGCATGGTCGCATCGTTCGAGTTGTCTGGATTGGTAACGGTGATGTCAGGTGCGGTGGCGAGCGCAGCGTTCTCGGAGGGCGACGACATGACGACAGTTGTCGCAGTCTAAGAGGGCTTCGAAAGCGGTTCTATTGGCACCGGGAGTCTCGAGCGGGATTGAACCGCCGTGCGTGGTGTGCGTCGGATTACTCGTGGGTAGGAGAATTCGTGATGAGTTGCGCCGAAGGCAACAGCGCCAGGTCGAGGAACGTGAAGCGGGAAAAACCAGCACTAGAGACGTGAGTGAGCCATCACGGGTCAGCAGGCAATTCGCGCATGAGCTGTGACAAACAGCGTCGAGGTGAAAACGTCGTAGGCGTCAGGCGCAACCGTGGTTGACAGCTGCACTTTCACTCGAAGCGATGATATCACTAAACGCGCTAGTTCGCGGGCAGCTTCCGCGGTACCGCGTCACGCCTACTCTAGCAACCTCACAACCCATCTGACAACGCACCTCAAGAACACCTTCACTGGAGCCTGTGGTACTACAACCGACAAATTCATTTGATCGATTCAGGAACGTTCTCCATTATCACTAGTGGCGTCGACCTAGCAGTTATCGACGTCACTGGGCAAGTCTTCATCCTTTCGCTTCATGCCACTCACCACGAGCAGTTTTCATAACATCATCCTGTCCCCCTCAAGATTGTGAACTGATCCTTCTATACCTCCTATCACAGTTTCGGTAACGGTGCTCTGGTCGCCCGGTTTTCCGGATTACTATTCCATCACAGCGGAGATGGAAGCCACAGCCCAAGAGACGGCAAGATCGATCCTGTCAATCTCCACCTAACCGCCCACGATCCAGCTGACTCGCTCAACGCCATCTCGTCGTAACGCCTTGCTTCCAGAACGCATTCGCAGCAGATTCAGGTTCTAAACTTTCTCCTTGCGGTATTACTCGCGATCTCCTTCCATATATATCATATTCGGACCTTTCACGATTCACGTTCATGCGGACGGCTTTCAGCCCTATGCAAGTCATGGCACCGGTGTCTTATCGAAGAAAGCCACTCTTATTTCGCCTGCGCACGCTGGATTCTGCGCCCAAACCCCGGGCCTCAACATTCCAAGCTGACTCTGATTGATCCCTGACAACACGGTGAACGGTTTCCTTGGTATTTTCTCTCCTCTTCACACATGAAAGTCTCTATGGGCTCGGTCTCACATGGCAATCGCTGAAGCCTGCGGTAGGTCGCTAAGGCCTGCGTCTTCTTCAGACTACCGAAGTAGCCGGTAAATATACAGTGGACACCCGTTTCAACCCCAAGTCACGAACATGGCACGCCTAGCAACATGTACAATGTAACGCGCTGAGTGCAAACTCGCCATCTACACATCGGTCGAATTACGTCAATTCAGGGCAGGGGATAAATCGATATAAAAGCGGTAAGAGTGCACAGAACATCGAAAGAGCTGAGATCAATATCTGGGCTGCTATCATGTTGGGGCCAGTTGAGGCAGGATCAATTGAGTTGGCGGGTTGTCTGAGGCGGCGACGGCCCAAGCTTCACTTTGAAGATTTATCCGTACCCTGCCAAACACCTGGCGCGTAAACTGCTGCTGAGATGAATGTCGCGTGGTACGGTGCGGGGAAGCAGGGACAATTTGACAGCTATGCAGCACTGCTCACATCGGTTGGTGTTGCATAACCCTTGGTCTAACATTGTCTGCCGGCACTTCCCCGCCACACCGTTTGGTCAGCCTGGGCGACGCGACTCATCACCCGCCCAAATCTGGACAGTCTGAACCTGACTCGGATCCTAATGTGGGACTCCCGCCGATGCATGATTGCGTTAGAGAACGCCGTCTTTCGCGCGATTGGCATTGTGGATATTGCCGTTGATGTTTGATAGTCAGTGGCTGCGGCACCCCTACACATCATCATGAGTATTGCCTCCACGGTTTCTTTTTCCTGTCAGCTATTCTATTCCGTTCGTGTGAACGGATTCATTGTCAAGCTCCAGAACCGTTCTCGATGGCCCCTCATGGCCGACTTTCTATCATCTTGGCTTTTGTGCTTACCTCTATGTCGACCGTGGTTGTAGCCCTCAGGTGCGTCAGCCATTCGCAACCCTGATCGCAACGTTGGTTAACAGTTCAGATTCTACACCCGATATTTCTATGTTGGAAAGCTCACGTCGTCCGACTGGGTCATGCTTCTGGCCCTTGTGAGTGTATGCTCACCCCCTGTGCTGCTATTGCTAACCAGAAACAGATCGCAACTTGGTATGGACGTCTCCGCGGAACCCAGAGAAGCTGAACTGACTCATTCGTTCCTACATCTAGGCCATCAGTGGTGGTACATTGCTTCATGATCCATTTCCTCGATTATAGCCAGGTTGATGTAAGTAGCTACCAGCTGTTGAATGACTGTGGTCTAACATAGCATAGAAAAACAAGCCAGAAACCGGGAGACCCGTAATCACCGGCTCGCTACTGTCGATATGGCTATACCGAGTCAACTTCATCCTCAATCTTTGTCTCATCAAGACGTCGATATTGCTATGTACGTTCTATGCCACACAATCCCAGGGATGAACGCGGAGAGCTTCGAGTACTACACAAGTGGCGGCCATTGCGCGTCGAACGGCTATCCGTTCGCCCATGTGCTTTCATTCTTCCTCGGAAAGCTCATTTTTGAAGGATCTACTCGGCTAACAGGATCGACTTAGTTTACAATTCTATCGCCGCATCGAACAAACGCTTCCAATACGTTGTCCGTGTACTCCTTGCCATCACAGTCTCTGGCGGAGTATCCATGATCATCGCCTCCATTCTCATGTGCATTCCGATCACCGACGCGTTCGCATGGGATGTTTGGTATCGAGCATGGGTCCTACACATCTTCGACGCTCATTGTTACAACCCAAATCCATTCTGGATCTTCAATGCCATCTATAACCTCGTCACGGATGTGATCATCTGGACGTTACCGATATTGTTCTTTTGGAATCTTTCGACAATGCCGCTTAGACGCCGTCTTGAGCTGATAGCTATCTTTTCCGTCGGTATCATGGCCGTAATAGCTTCCGCCCTTCGGCTTTACACTACGATTTTCTGGGTGCACGACTATGTGCAGCAAGGGCTGACTACAGCAGATCTTTTGATGTGGAGTCAAGTGGAACAGCACGTCGGCCTCATCTCAGCCTCCGTACCATTTCTGCGACCACTCTTCCGTAGAGCGATGGTCAAGATAAAGAGCAGAGAGCAGCCCAGCCCAGGTCCCGGAAGGCGCTTGGTCGGAGACGGCACACCAGAGTGGACTCCTGCCATGTTCAGGACGCCGATCATCCCATCGCCTAGTCCAACATTTAGCAGGTGTAGCCGGGAATTTAGGTCACCGCGGGGCGCACTTCCGCCTATTGAGCCTATGAGTACGTCAACATGGGGCTCGACCATTTGGGATGGATCTCAGGTTCGGCAGGTGCTTCCAAGCTGATCTGTCGATCATTGATAGACCCGCAAACCTGTTCAAGAGCGGAAGAGGCGGACCACCGAGTTCTCAAGAGAGAAAAGCGCCACCGCATGTGCGTGGAGCTCTTTGGCCAAGTGAGGGCAACGGTTGTTCATTCACTGTCGGGAATAGCCTTACACCAAGTTCTGAACTAGGCAATTCGCTCTCCCGAGCCACTCCAACACCTCAACGACACCACGATGTGTGCTCTCATGACTTCGGTACCTACAACAATGACTGCAGGCGACGGAGTGGCCGATGCCTGTGCTGCGATGCCATGCGTACTTGCACCTCCGCCTAAACCAGCACTCGATAACCTTCCCATGGAGCTCATCACAAATATCGTGAAGTTCATACCCAGTTCGCCTGTACGCGAGCTACTTGCGTTACGTCGGACCTGTCGCTTCTTTCGCGCAGCCGCCGCCTATTTGCTTTGCCCACGTATGAGGCGCAGGCTCAGACACATTCGAGTGCTGATGACAAAAGACGGCTTGACAGCGCTTCTTGAGATCACGTCGGTAATTCATTGGCGAGACTGCATTCAATGCGTTGAATTTATCGACCCTGGAGTGGACGCCATAAGGGAATACAAAAAAGGAGATCGAGACAAATACCACTGGCTCGGCTATACCGTGATGCCAGCCAAATTTCGGGAAATCCAGAACACGGTACGTCGTACATCTAAGACGGGCGCGGACCTGGGAGAGTGCGCTCTTCCCGTCAGTCGCCTTATTCGAAGTCACTGTGTGCTAACGAAGTTCAGATTACACCTGTGCGGCAGTTGTTCTGGGCTAACTACGCCCCGGTTCTTCTCGAGAAGATCTTCTCCTCATTCAAAACTATGGAAGGACTTGAGGAGATACATTTCGGGTCGAGAAGTAGCGCTCATAAGCCGCTACCGCGTTCAGAACCTTTCATCATGAGTATAGGGTTCGACTACGCCCATACTAATCTTGCTCGTTATCTGTTCCAACGTATCTACAACCGCGAGATTGGCACCTACATTTCCGCTGGACACATGCGATTGCTGCATCGGATATTGTCGGACACTGGCTTCGACAAGGGAATTGTTCACTTGAATATGCGCAACCTCACCGGGACTGAACGATTGTCTCTACCTGGAGTGTGGCCATACCTAGATCACACAAGTTTTCAGAAACTCAACTTCGTAGATGTGGACCACGCGCATCTGGTGGATAACATCAGGGCGCCTTCGACAATGAGACTCGATCCGAAGTATGAGCGTCTCAACTCACGCCCAATATGTTGGAACATCACCGAACTCCGGCTCGTCGGCTGCAAGACAGATTCCAGCTGCGCAGCTGATTACCAGACCTTCTGTCTCCTCGCCAAGTCTCGCTTTCCTCACCTGACCCGGCTCGACCTCATCGGATACGCCGTCACCAGCGAACAGCTCATACCCTTCCTCCGCAGAGTTAATTCTACAACGCGGGAAGTGTTCTTGGCTAGCATCCATCTCACTTCTGGTAGTTGGAAGACGGTTCTTCGAGAAATTCGCGCTTTCAAGCGACTGCGTGAGACCAAATTCAAGACTCTATCGGAGATGAAACAACAGTATTGGAATGGACGCTTTGCGAAACTTGTAGTGATCGCATGATGGTAGGGCCGATGATTGTTGTGGGATTCCTTGTCTGGAGAGAGATGGCTTCGAAAAGGTGTTGGACATGTGTGGACGGCGCTGCGTATAACCAAATAAGTAGCTACACTATATTACCTCATGACCACAACTACATGCCGATGTCAGATGTCGAGTGACAACGTGGACGGGGCTTAGTACATCGCCGTACTCGTGGTGATGTGATTCGTCGGGCCGACCGCGTCATGCTCTCGCGATTAGCACTGCCGATGCCGTCCAGTCATGCCGCAATTCTAGAAGCCTACCTAGGGCGAGCGACTTTATCAGCCTGCGGTGGGCTCACCGTGACACGATCCACAGTCGCCTTGCAGGGCGGCGCTGGTGTGATGTGGAAGCCGGGGACACTCGAGCCGCTGCCGAACAGAAAGCTCAGCAGGCGGTGAGTGACAGGGGCGAAGGGTAATTGGCCTGGCGCGTCTTCTGGGCAGGCACTAGTGCATTTGCGCCCACGCGTTGGCCGCTCGGAACTGAGTGAACCTTGGGTGGCAAAAGTGGTACGAACGTCGATCAGGGCCGCCAATCTCCAATTTAATCCGCCTCCTTTGCTGCTGCATCTGCTCTTCTTCACTGCAGCACCTCCGCCAATCGCTCCTTCACCACTCTGCAACCTGCAGTCGTTCCTTCGCTCTACCTCTGCACACTGCACCCGCTCTTTGTTTCTACTGCTGGACATTGAGAGCAGCCACAATGTACGCCCGATCCCGAAGTACCCCGAAGTCGCATACCCTAGATACTAACAGATGCCAGGAACAACGCAACCTCCCTCCTGACGCCTATGGCGCAGGACACCTACTGGGGCTCCTTTGAGGAGATCTCCAAGTACAATGTGCAGCTCAACTACCTCGAGAAGATGTGGATGGCCTGGTACGCATGGATGGGCAACGATGTCCTAGCGACAGGCATCATGTCCTTTGTCTTCCACGAGCTCTTCTACTTTGGACGCGCGCTTCCTTGGATCATCATCGACTGCATACCCTTCTTCAACCGATACAAGCTCCAACACGTACGTCTCCGCGATTCAACAGCTCTATGCGACGTTAGCTAACTTGCCGCAGCAAAAAATCCCCACCACTTGGGAACAAACACAATGCGCCGCCCTCGTCCTCCTGTCCCACTTCACCGTCGAGCTTCCCCAGATCTGGATGTTCCACCCCATGTGCCAATACTTCGGCCTCCAGACCTCCGTTCCCTTCCCCAGCATCTACAAGATGGCCTACCAGATTGCCATCTTCTTCGTCTTCGAGGACGCATGGCACTACTGGATGCACCGCGCCATGCACGCCAGCTCCTTCCTCTACAAGAACATCCACAAGATCCACCACCAATACTCTGCTCCCTTCGGTCTGGCCGCCGAGTACGCCTCGCCCATTGAAGTCATGATCCTCGGCTTCGGTACTGTCGGAGTCCCAATCGTCTTCTGCGCCATCACCAAGGACCTCCACATCTTGACCATGTACGCTTGGATCTGCCTCCGTGTGTTCCAGGCCATCGACGCGCACAGCGGCTACGAGTTCCCATGGAGTCTGCACCACTTCCTGCCTTTCTGGGCCGGCGCTGAGCACCACGACGTTCACCACGAGAAGTTCATTGGCAACTACGCCAGCAGCTTCAGGTGGTGGGACCTGCTCTTCGACACCGAGGCCGGTGCCGAGGCTTCCAAGAAGCGCCGCGAGCGCAAGATGGCCGCTGCCAAGCTTAAGAAGGCCAACTGAGCGATCTCTGTTGGCACGTTTACTATCTTTGACGAGTGTTTGTCGGTTTTAGCCGCACGCTTGATGGTTGGGAGGTGGTAGAACCTCTTCCGGCTGATAACTACCCACACGCTTCGATGCGGAGCTGGTATGAGACATGGCGTTTTGGGTATAGGAAACTGCAGCCATGCATATTGGTCGCGGTAATAGACAGTATGACAGTATGGACCCTGGATAATGGGTGGCAGAGAGGTGTTGTAAATAGGAGCTGGGTCATTATAGAATATCTACCTAATATTATCATCACGGTCGTTACGTTGAACGTTAACCTATTCTATCACTTTCCGATTTCGTGTCATTTGTTGAGCACATATATTCAGGACGCGAAGATGTGTGCATTGGAACAAACAGTAGGCCAAATGTGTGTTAGGTGAACGGTGAAGAGGCCCCTGGTGATAGCGCGGAACGCCGTCTTGGCGCGGTGAGGACTGGCGCGTCTACATTCCGAGCTCATCAACTTTCTTTAACCTCACCAAACCGCGCAATCACCTCCACCACCCCAAGACGACGGCGCGCGAAAAGACGGCATCATGAGCTCCGGGCGCCCTGTTGTCCACCAGGACTACATTGCAAAAATCCGATATTCGAATGCGCTGCCTCCTCCACCCTGTCCGCCAAAGCTGCTGGACATCCCCAACACTGGTCTTTCGAGCGGTCAATACACATCAGCTGGCTTTGCGTCAAGACTAGCGCGAGAGCAGTCACTGAACATTGAGGCTGATGCGGAGCTGGGAATGCCCATCGACTTGGTGGGTATCCCCAAGGTATTCGATGGAGACGAGTCTGGTAAGAGCGAAACCGTGGCGCAAACCTGCGCAGCGACTGACGCGTCCAATAGCTATTCAGGCGATGCCTCACCCCCCACCGCTCAGCACAGCAGACAGGGCACTGATGCGACCACCGAACCAGCTCGGCAAGACGCAGACCAATGCTTCTGGCGCGACTTTCCTGCGACGAACCGAATATGTCACGTCAAGCACAACCGGCGGCTCCAAGTTCGAGTCCAGTAACTCATCCAACACGATGCGCCTGCGGAGGAAGCGAAAGCAGGTGGAGACCTCATTAGACGATCCTACCAACATCGCGAGACACATCCTGAAGAGCTTCAACATCGCGTACCCAGCAGATGCCTACAACGGCCAAGACGGCGCCGAGAACATCAGGGCAGCGGAATCGACGCCTGAAGAGCGACTAGCCTGGAACAAGCCCAAGAACCCCCGAAACCCCAACCTAACACTCGTGGACTCCTACCCACTCCTCCCCGATTGGGACGCCATGCCCGACACTGGCGGCTACATGGTCTTCAAGTTCACCGCACCCCCGATCAACAACCCGCTCGACCCATCCTACGACCCGCGTCTCGACGTTGCCCTCCTCCGTCCCGCCGGCCAAACAATCCAAGACCAAGAAAAGTACATGGAAGATCGCGAAGCGCACCGCCTGGACCCCACCGTCCCACCCCCGATCCCCCGCTGGCAATTCGAATACTTCCTCCCCTCCGACAAGAACAAGGTCCGCGGCATCAAACGCAATTTCACCACGCACGACCCCACCAACGAAGCAGACATCGACTTCGACATTGCCGAAGACGACGAAGGCCAGCCGCGCAAATGCTTCAAATACGATAACGTGCGTACGTACGAGACGAGCCAGCAAGTCGGTGACCCCAGCGATACCTACGGTGATGTTGTTGCGCTTGCGCTGCATGACCCGGAGAAACACGCGAATGAACCGTTGCGTGATAGTAAGATGCAGCGGGCGGCGTACTTTTACCCTATTACGCAGAGGACGCAACTTAGGCCAAGGAGGCCGGGTCGCATTGATATGACGGAGGAGCAGCCCAAGGTCGATATTATCGAGGCGGCGGGTAAGGAGCCTGAGAGTTTGGAACGGAGGGAGGGGTATAGGAAGAGGGCTGAGGGCGTGGAGTAGGCTGGAGGGTTGGAGGGAAGAGGATGAGGGAGTTTGAGTACTCCTTGTCATTGTTGGAGTTGCAGAGCCAAGGTTGGTGAGCATAAGTTGAGATTGAACCGGTTTGGTATTTATCATCAGCGTCGGCGTTAATGAGGTACAGAGATGTAACAACAGATATCGTGGATCGTTCGGCATTCAATCGGCATATACCTGAGGTCTTTTCTTCTCTTTTCTTTCTCGCAAACGTTTCGTTGGGTGTTCCTTCCTCATTTCTAAGTTCTCGTCCATCTCCGGCCTCAACGCCCACTCTTTCGTCATCCCGACCGCTTCCCCACCCAGGGATAGAGGTTTAACAACAGATATCGCGGGCCATGCTATATAAAAGGAGGTTCCTCCACGTCTCTTTCTTTCTTCTCCAAAAACTTGAAAGGGTTTCTCTCTCATCTGTCACATGCCATCGACGACATGACCCCTCCTCACATTACTTTATCAGGGCGACAATCACTCCGATCAAAGCCAGCACGACGCCAATGACGGTAGCATTCTCTTTCATGTAGTTGAACCACCTTCTAGCCCAAGGTCTCTCAACATATTCGGATCGAGGTGGTATCGTCTGGGTCTTGTAGGGATTGGGGTCGAATGCGAGAGGGAGGGTGTTGGCGCGTCGGTGTTTAATGCGTTCAACGTGTGTGGGTAATAAGGAGTCCTTGTTGACTCGGTGGAATACGTTGGCGTTGGCGGTTGAAGGCATATGGTGACCGGGAAGGCGCGTTCGCGACTATGATGGTTAGAAACTTGATATAGCGAATGCGATGTTGAAGATTGAACCGTACATAGTGTATAAAATGGAAAGCAGTGATGTCCTTGCTGCTTGCTCAGCGAGTTGTAAGGTACTCGGAAGTATGATGTTGGTTCTCTCTCTCTCTCTTCGTCCTCAGTATTCGAGGGAGCGATCGCGAAACTCTTAGGTTACACAAGAGCTAACATCGAGAGCGGATTAGCGCATCTGCGGTACCTAGATACCTACAGGAGCATCCAATCACAACGGTCGAGGTCTATTACCTGTTCGAGACTGCTTTTTTGATGTGGAACACCCCAATAACGCCTTTACTACAAAATCGTAAGTGGGCTTTATCTCATCAAAGGTATCAATTATCCCAAGGTATCAACCATCCCAAGGTCGACATGATCTCACACGATGCCTGTGAAGTCTCCAACGACAAGCGCGTGATTCCGCAGCCGAGATTACAGCCCTGGAGGCATCGCCACACATGCGCACCCACGGGTGCCAGTCTCATCAGATGACGTATTTTCTGCCTGGGTATTTATGCATCTGAACAGTGTATCTACAAAAGCTATTAGACGGCTCGTGAGGACAAGTAATAGTATGTATGAGAGTACCTAGGTACTCAAGCTCCTTTTCTCTCGAAAAACTGTCATTTGGTATCTTTCTTCGTCTCTCTAGTCTATCCACACAGCAATCCTATCTATCACGTTCCCAAGAAGCTTCATCGCATTCGAATCACTTAACAACAACCGTAATGATAGCGATAATAACTCCGATAAAAGTAAGAGCGACCCCAATAACCGTAGCATACTCTTTGATATAGACGAGCCAAGTCTTCTTCTCGTTTTGTGCGATCACAACCGTATCGGTATTGGAGGCTATTGGCTGGTTGTGGAGATAATAGGAGTTGAAGGTAGGAGGTAGAGTGTAGGCGCGTCGTGGTTGTAGTGGGATATGGCTCGGTAGTAAGGAGCCCATGTTAGCCTGCTCGCCTACAGGAGTGATGGGATGGGCCATCGCGATGCGCTGCGGTCCCGGTTGGCTAACACATGGATCAGCAGTATACATAAGACCGAGTACTAAGGTGTTCAAGTACAATTAACACTGAAGTCTTCGACGGAGGGTTTGGCTCTTCTTCTGTCAATATCTTTGGCACGGCACTCCAAAGCTGATATACTACTACCACGTCCACGCCTTCAGGACTGTTCGGTCCAAGGATCAGAATATCAGTTGAGGCGCATTCCGCTCAAGCCAATCAGACATGCCCGCAGACCGGTGAGACGTAGTAGAAGCCAATCAGATCGCCGTGGCTCAAGGTAAAGCCGCGCTGTCTGCTCCTCTTCCATCTCTCCCCTGCTCCTCTTCCATCTCTCCCCTGCTCCTCTTCCATTGTTCCCCTGCTCCTCTTCCATCTCTCCCCTGCTCCTCTTCCATAGCCCCATGAAGCTACCGTGCCTGCCGCGTAGGCGGCTCGAGCTTTCTGTTCACGCTACTCCACATGCACACACTCTAATTGGACGGACAGCAAGGCTGAGAATGCGTAGCCAATAAGATCAAGAGTCGTTTGCGCAAGCTCAACTTGGCGGACGAGACGTGAGCTCGCCTTTTTCAGATCGGGCAGCCCTGAAGCCACAAATCAGTAGAGCGTGGCAATGATGATTTCACGTCCCGAACTATATCAAGCCATCGCATGGCTCATGGAAAGTGATCATGGAGGATGTGGAAGCACTCAACATACTTCCTTGTTGCGAAGTATTCCAAGATCTTCCTCTCTCCATTGTATCGCACTCCATAGCCTAGCATGCCATGTTCTACATGAACCCTTTGTGAACGATAAAACACCTGTCCGACCATTTCACTTGACTACAACAGTAACAACAGAGGTAACGATAGTCCCAACTATTGCAACCATAACCCCAATGACCCCAATAATAAGTGCGATGAGTTTGGCGTTCTTCATAATGCAATGATGCTATGTTTTTACACGTGCCCTACCATTGGTGCTTGGAGGGCTTCTTCGATCGTTGGATGGACGATGGTTGAGTGGAGGGAGGGTATAGGCGCGGCGTGATCGGATATATGTGGGCAACAAGGTGTCCATATTGATCTCATCGGCTGCGATGGTGTCTGAAGAGTGCAATGGTGATGCGTTACTTGAGTTGACTATCATACTTTAGTGTGCTGTATCGGCCAATCATAGACCAGATCATGCTGAGCCACATACTGTAGTAGGAGGGAATTGTTCAACGCAACACGCGGA